TCTTCACATATCCTTTAATTTTTGGTTAATGAACGTTGTCATGATATATTATAGAGATTTTAGAGTCTGTTTTCTTCCTTTAAATAACGTAGACTTTTTTTGTTCTCTCAAATTCTTAGCTGATCGCCTGAAACTTGTGGGTACTTAGTGTTACATTTTGTTATAAGACATTTTGGTTTTGTCTTTAGTTTTAGTATTAGTCCTTTATTAAGGCATAGCCCCTCTGAGGTTTTGAAAAAAAACCTCAAGGTATTTACCAAGCTCTTATAATTGGATGGGATTCAAATTCCAAATTCTACAGGCAGTAGTTGTAGGCATTAGGCAGCAGTTGAAATCTCTGCTCAGTTTTTCAGCTTTCTAGTTATTGTTTTCCACTGGGCTCACTGGCATCTCCCCCACATATATGCAGTTTAGGGGTCATCCAAGGATTGAGAGGAATTTTTATAAAGAAGTGAAGCTCTATTTTATATGGTTCTTTGCTTTTTGGAACTTCCTCCCTTAAAGCCCATCTACTCTGGCAGCCCTGAACTCCATTTTCGGACACTTCAAGCAAATATGACTGTGGCTTTCTCCTTGAATTCTAGTTGCTCTTTGTGGATTGAAAGAACCCTCAGGGAGAAGCTGTATAAATGCAGATCTCACCCAGTTCAATTCACTCAGTCCAATTTCCTTCTTTCAAGGAACAAATTTCCAACATTATCTGCCTTCTTTTAGTCAGCATATAATAATACCTTCAAATAGTTGAAAAAATATTTTGTCCAGAGTTTATAACAGTTATCCACAGGAGAGGTAATCCAATATAATCTCTTCTATTACTGATATAACTTAAAAATTTTAAATGTTTATTCATTTTTGAGAGAGAGACAGAGACAGAGCATGAGCAGGGGAGGGGCAGAGAGGGAGACAGAATCTGAAGCAGGCTCCAGGCTCTGAGCTGTCAACACAGAGCCTGATGTGGGGCTCAAACCCACCAACTGTGAGATCATGATCTGAGCCAAAGTCAAATGCTTAACTAACTGAGCCACCAAGGCGCCCCAATTATTGACATAATTTATTGACATAAATTTCTCTCACAGAAATTTTAACTTACGGTGTGCGTGTGTGTTAAGAATAAATTATACCTTTCATCTTTATGAATACTCATAGGATCATTAAATAATACATCCTGAGGGAATCCTCATGTATTATCCAGACTATTCTGTCCTACCAAGCAATGACTATCTAAAACTTATGATTAATCTCCTGCTTTTATTCATTCATGTATTAGTTTAAGGTATACAGCATAATGATTTGACATACCATTGACCCTTGAAAAATGTGGTTGATGCCCCAACCCACAGGCAGTCAAAAATCCATGTATAACTTTTGACTCCCCCAAAACTTAACTAATAGTGTACTGGTGATTGGAAGCCTTACTGATAGCATAAATAGTCAAGTAACATATATATTGTATGTTATATGACTTATATACTGTATTGGTACAATAAAGTAAGCTAGAAAAAAGAAAATGTTACTGGGAAAGTCATAAGGAAGAAAAATTACATTTACAGTACTGTATTTATTGAAAAAAACCCCACATATAAGCAGATCTGTGCATTACAAACCTATGTTGTTCAGGGGTCAACTATATGTATATACTGTGAAATGATTACCACAATGTCTAGTTAACATCCACAACCACACATAGTTATAATTTTTTTTCTTGGTTTGAGAACTTCTAAGAACTATCCTTTTAGCAACTTTCAAATATACAATAGAGTACTATCAACTATAGTCGTCAAGGTGTACATTGTATCCCCAGGACTTATTTTACAACTGGAAATTTGTATGTTTTAACCACCTTCCCCTATTTTGCTCATCCCTCACTCCCCTGGTTCCTATCTCTGGCAACCACAAATCTGTTTTTGTTTTTTTTTTTAGGATTCCGCATATATACTGAGATCATATGGCATTTGTCTTTGTCTGACTTATTTCGCTTGGCGTAATGCCTTCAAGGTCCATCACTGTTGTTGAAAATGGCAGGATTTCCTTCATTTTTTATGGTCAAATAATATTCTATTGTGTGTGTATATGTGTGTGTGTGTATGTACATCACATTTTCTTTATCAGTTCATCCATTAGTGATCACTTGGTTTGTTTCCATGTCTTGGCCATTGTAAATAATGCTGATCTCTTGCTTTAAAAGAGGCCGAGGAGGAAAGATGCTTCTTTAGGAAATGAGCTCCCTGTCGGGACACTCCCAATTAAATGCTATAATTTAAACTCATATAATAGCTTCATTACAGGGTCACTGAATTATACAGACAGATGAATGTATAAGCATTACCGAAGCTGAGTTTGTCCCATTAAACCACGGATGTTAAAGAGGTATCTTTCCCCATGTTTTTGTGTGTACGTTATCTACACTTTTCTTTGCTTTGCTTCTTCACCTCTTCAGCAACAAAGGAACTCATCACTGCTGGTCTGTTTTACTTGGGTTCTTACACCTTACTTAATATCCTGGCATCTATACATTCCCCATTCTCCTGACCTGACTTCTGTATCCTTCTGGTTGTTCTGAGCCTTAATGTTATGGGTTGAACTGTTTCCCCACAAAATCCTTATGTTGAAGTCCTGGACTCCAATACTTCATAGTGTAACCTTATATGGAGAGAGGGTCTTTATAGGGGTAATAAAGTAAACACAAAACCATTAGGGTGGGCCCTAATCCAATATAACTGGTATTTTTATAAAAAGGAGAAATTTGGATCAGAGACATACACAGAAGGAAGATTATGTGAAGAAACACAGGGGGAATATGGCCATCTGTAAAACAAAGGCTGGGACAGCAGATCCCTCCTTCACAGAAGAAACCAATCCTACTGACTGATCTTAGACTTCCAGCCTGCAGAACTATGAGACAACAAATTTCTGTTGTTTAAGGAATCCAGTTTGCGGCACTGTGTTATGGCAGCCTTAGCAAACTAATACACTTACCACTTAACAAATAATCTGATCACAGTTTTTCAACTTGATTCTGACTCAAGGCTTTCCTTTGTCTCCTTTGATCTACTCACCCCTCAGTTTGGTAAATGGGCAAAAAAGCAAAATAACGGATCTGTGTCTTTTTTTAACTTAATTCAAATGACTTTCCTGATCCTAGATTCCTTGTATTATAAAATAAGGATATTGCTCCTGCCCTACCCGTCTACCTAAGTAAAGCTCAAATAAGGTAGTGCACAGAAAATATAAAATGCTACACAAATCTCAGGCATCCCGAGTCATTGCTCTTTGTTCATAATATGTTCTTCCTCTTGCCAAATTATGAGAGAACTAGTTAGAGGGTTCAAGTTCAGAATTCTCCACTTTTTAAAGAAAAACCCTTTCAACCTAAGACTTTATTTTGCTACTTCTAGTTCAAGAGGCAGATGTGAGGTAGATGATGAGTGTGGGATGATACTTCAAGTTTTTATCATTCTGGCATCTCGAGAGGGTTTAAAAGAATTCCTCAAACAACATATTTATTTTAATAAGAAACTAACATAAGGAAACCAATTTTTTTTAGAGAATAGGCTTTTTAGAAAGCATAAGAAAAGAAGAACTAATGGCACATCAAACTGCATTAACAAAACTAGGATGTGTATTAAATGTGATTTTAAAATTTGTAAAATTAAATGTGGGATGTTGGCAGTTCTTCAACATACTTTATATGTTCCTTTGTTTTTAAAACGATTTTGTTAATGAGAATTTGAAAAATTGTTGTTTCTACAATAATACGCATTTTTATAAAATTATAGAACTTATTCCCAAACAGCTTATAGTCTAGTATATTGATTCTTATCCAGTTTCAAATGTTACTCAAAAGAACCAAAATTTGAAATGATTCTACCCTTTTCAGTTCTCTAGAATGCCTCCAGATGGCATTAAAACCCTTTTCCCATTATATTTTGCAGCACAAAAATTTAAAAATTAGTACTATTTGAACCACTTAAGACTAGTCACATTCATTATATCATCAGAAATCATGACAGTAGAACTATTTAGAATTTTTAGGACAATATTTTAAGAAAGACAAACATGTAATTATATCTTTTGTGAAATATATAGCCCTCTGATACACACCAAAGGATCTTCCTAGAATGAGAAACAGATCTTGGACAAAATAAGACATTCAATAATATTGTATCACGAGGTGTGGTATCTAATGAATAGCATTTTAGATGCTGAGCAATATGAGCACTGGCTCACACAAAGATAAATTCACAAAGCTGTCTCATAATAAGAAAACTTATCTTGCCCCTCAGAGTAATAAAAATAAAGATTCTTAAGGAGCCAACCTGTGACTGGTTCCTGTGAAGCTAAAGTAATTTGCTAGCTCGTGAATTATTTTATTTAAACTTTGGAATATAAAGTTGGTATCAAATTAATCATTAAAAAACACATTTGGATTCTTTGAGTACTGAGAGGAAAAAGACAAAAAATAGAGAGTGAGGAACACATGCTTTCTAAGTGCCTTTTCTTATGTTTTTAAAATTGCGTTTGTAAATTCAAAAACATGACAAATTTGAGATTCCAGAGATATTCATCATCATATTTTTCACACAATTCCAAGGTGAGGTTGGAGATGGCAGGCTTTTAAAATGACATTGGTACTTCATCGTGTGTACGACAGAATACCTCCCAGTATATGTGAAAAGTCACACAGTTATTTAGGACAGGGATGAAAATCTCCAGCCAAATTCTAAAGGGTTTGTCTCCTTTCTCCCCAATGACACACACCCTGAAATCTTACTACATTTCTATTTTATCAGGAGGAGTATTTACATTTTTAAGATTACTCTTACTGTGCTAAAGCATAAGAAAGACCTCAAAATGTGTCCGCACCCAAAAGCATTGAAAGACATCATCATGAGAAAGAGAACCACAGGCTTCCTTCCATTATTAGTATTACTCTTACGTGATATTTGCACTGTTTCATACTACAGACATATTATCTGGATAGAAACAGGAAAGAGACTTACGATGTATTCGATGTGCCATTGTCAGGACTCTCTGGCTCAGCATCACCTTTCTCTTAAAAAGGAAGCAGACAAAAAATGTCAACATGTGAGTGTTACGGTCTTTAAGATTTAAGAGAAATTAAATATATTTCAATGCTCCTATTAAAAATCTTTCAAAATGTGCAGCAGGAGGCTTTTAAAACATCTTTTTATTGTCTGAGAACCGGATTGTCAAGTAATTTCTTCTATGTATTACAATTGCCCAGGCATGGATCTGTGAGTAGGTACTAGGAGCTGTTTGCAAACAACCAGAGGTTCAGAGTGGAGACCCTGCCAAAAGATGAATATCTTACAGATGGAACCTGTTTCCTTCCATTTCATTTTACAGACAATTTAAGGAAATAAACTCCATTAGCATTCTAACATGCAAGCCATTTTGACTTTTGATCCCTTTTGCTAATCCAAGCAGGTCAGGTTCCATAAGAAGGTGGAGAGAACCGTACAGAACATTGATAGATTACAAGATCCCCAAGATGTATACCCACTGAAAGTCCTGGCAGCAGCTTTTGGGGACCCCTGAATTAATGGAGAATAAGGTATAAACCAGAAATCCTTCCAGACCATTTGAAAGTCTAGCTAAAGAAATGTTTCTGTGGTTTGTGGTCATCAAACACTTAATAGGCTTTAATTAAGGGAGTCTGGAACCAGTTCACTTTTAGTAGTTTTAAATGGCAAATTCTTCTAGCAATAGATATAATTCTTCGATCCTTGGCCATTGAGGGTTTGAACCATGCATCCTTATTTTGTAAGGTGCTTCTTTTTATTTCCTTGAGGCTAGGGGAAGGAAGGGGAAGGGTCATGACTTGCAAGTGTGAGTCGGCTAGAGTTATGATGATTGTGTGGTGCTAACAGTTGAGTAAAGCCTAGAAAAGGTTGTGGGTTGTAAGAAATGGGCTTGATGGCGGCCACTTGCTTTTGCTTTGCCCTTTCAAGTCAGGCCTAAACATCTTGTAGAACCTCAGGCCAATGGCACTAGATGAGCCTCCCTTGTCAGCAGATGACATTAGCTTGTGGTCACCTAGTCTCAGGAATGATTCCATGATTAACATGATGTAATTATGTTTAACTTATTTTCATGATGAACACATTCCAAAGATATCACCCAAACTGAACTCAAAAGTAAATTTTACAGGGGATCCTGGGTGGTTCAGTCAGCTAGGTGTCTGACTTTGGCTCAAGTCATGATCTCACGGTTCATGAGTTCAAGCCCTGTGTTGGGCTCTGTACCATCAGCACAGAGCCTACTTTGGATCCTCTGTCCATTCTCTGTCCCGCAACCCCCCCCACCCCCCCCACCCCGCCCACGGGTTTTCTCTCTCTCTCAAAATAAACTTAAAAAAAGGAAACTTTACAATTTCTCCTTTTTTAAATAGAAAATTAAAGAGTTGTGAGGGAAAAAAGGCACAGTTACATATATAGTTCACACATTTATCTCAGATATAACTCTGTTAATATGTCTACACAGTGCCAGAAAAACCATGAGGGACAGTCACTTTGTTAAAAAGCCACAAAACTGATTTAGGTGCCTTGATAACAAACATTGATTAGACAAAGCCCCAGTACAAAGGAATCCATTTTGAAATAAAAGTAGAGGCAGCAAATAAACAAACTTGCTTTCAAGCTCATAGTTTGATACTATATTTTTGTCTTCCAGGCCAGTCTGTGGTGTACTTATATAGGAGCCATGTAAGTCCTCATCAACTGGTTCTAGTGCTGGAAAATAACCTAATTTAGTTCTTTCCAGGATCACTTTTCCACGAAGTAACCATGCTTCCTGCCAGAATGCCAAATAAGAGCTGTAACACCTGCATTATGTAAGACAAAACTAAATGGAGGTTTAATTTCTGAAACATATTGATATATTTTCCCCTTTAATTTGGGAAAATTGGTTACTTTCCTGCGTTTATAGCCACTGGTAATAACCCCACATAAAATCTTAATCAAGAATGTAAAACAGCAGGTTCAGGAGCAGCAGGCAATAGTAAACATTGCTAAACAACTTGTGTCAAAAACCCAGAAAATCAATAATATAAACAGAGACGATTATTTGGATGTTTGAATAAGTATGTTTTACCTTGAGCAACAATGCTGTCAGATAAACTGCAGGCTGATAGGGTACAGGCCTTAGTGCACATGGGATCTGGGGGCTGCAGGAATTGTGGGCTGGATCAGCTCAGGGACAAAGCTGCAGCTGATGATCTCTGCTCTTAGCAGCACTTATGTTGTGGCAACAGGGAAAAACAGAATAGGAAGGATACAATGGGGCCAAACAGGGCATTTACAGATGGTCCTAGAGAGAGTGTTCTCTGACTTGGGTGCTGATAATGAATTAATCTTTCTGGGGGAAAAGTAAGCTCAGAATGGAGACAGGGATTAAAGCTGTGTTTGTCATTCACAAAGAATAAGACATAAAATTCTCAACATCTTGAAATTTTAGGTGATGCAATTTCTGAAGTTAACTTGAAATGTTTAAGTACATAAGCCATTAAGAATCATAGTCTCTTTTTCAGGACCCAAGGGAAGATAATAAATGTATACTAGAAAACTCTTGACAAAAAAAATTCTTAGTTGGATGCTCAGGTGTTTCCCTGCAGCCACCAAAGAAGACTTTTTGGGGTCACCCTGGTTATTTCAGCTGTTTTCATGATAGATACCACACTGGTCTCTGTATTGATCATTAAGAAACTGGACATAAAAGAATGGCTCAGGAGCACTGTGGTTATTTTGCATGTGGAAATATAATTACAGAGAGGAAGAGGGCACAAAAAATGAGCCATAGGATATATATATCTACATACACATGTAAATGCATAGGTATGTATATACGTATATTATATGCATACTTTCAGTTTGATGCTCCATATTTGTCTACTTGAGCCTTCCACAGTACTTAAACATATACTACATGCTTCATATAGGTCTTCTGTCTCATGACCTGTCATGAATACAGAATCCCTGTCACAGTAGTGGAGGAAGAGGAGAAAGGTACACTCACCACTGAGATGAATATACAGTTTGAGGTATGAAACAGCTTGATGGCCCCAATAGGCCACTTAAAAAAAAAATGACAGTAGCTACACTTTTAATCCAATAAATGCACCGAGGACTTAAACGCTGGGCACTCTAGCAAGCATAAAGATAAATAATACCTAATTCATGCTCTTTAAACACAGAACATGACTGCACTCCTGGAGTATGTACTCTCCATCAACAGTGCGACAAGGTGGACTACATACTGTTGAAAGGGAATAAAAATACACCTGCGTTAAGCTGTATTCTGCTGCAGAGAGAAGTTGCTATACTATAACTTTTATTTCTTTTTTTTTTTTAAGTTTATTTTATTTATTTTGAGAGAGAGGGAGAAAGCGCGAGCAGGGGAGGGGCAGAGAGAGAGGAGAGAGCAAGAATCCCAAGAATCTCCATGCTGGTAGTGCAGAGTCTGACATGGGGCTCCAACCCAAGAACCATGAGATCAGGACCTGAGCCACCCAGGCACCCCTATGACTTTTCTTTATAATGAAAGGAATCCATGTTTGCAGTGTTGACTTTGCTAGCTTTTGTTTTTAGTTATGTTAGCCCTTCAACCACTATGCTCAGTGATATACTTGTTTCTAGATGTAATGACTTTAGACTGTGTAACGATTTCTGTTATCAAAGATGAGACTTAAGGTACTTAATATACTACCATCTCTGCTTACAATTCTTACTAGTCTATTATTACTTTTAGTGCCTCTACTGGGTATTTATAACCTTAAGTTTAACCTTCTATTTCTTGATTAATCAACTATTGACAGTATCTTTTCCTGTATACTATGTGAAATGTGGAAATTCATTCATCTATTCTTCCCTCCTGCCTTCCCTCTCTCCACTGTACACAACTCTGCACAGCTATACGTTTCCTTCTACATAGCCAAGATTTAAAATATTTATATTCTGTTCAGTAATTATTAATGAGTCACCCTCATTAATATTAATTTAATTAATAATTTAATTTTTGGAATTGCCTATAGGCCAATTAGAAAAATTACAAACCAATGAATAATAGGATTTATAATATTATAATGATTAAATATTAGTCACTAAGGAACCAAGAAGTAAGACTGGATGTGTACAGAAAGGAATGTCATAAACCCAAATGAAGGCAAGTGTTCCTGGCATTTCAGTCAAATGTATTCCCATTCTTACATTTCATCCTGCCACGTGTTAATCTGTCTCAAGTAAAGGCTATACTTTTCCTTAAAAAAATGTTCAATAGAGTATGCATTTAATGTACATAAAATGTATATGTATATGAAAGTGTACACATGAAGTTTTAAAAAATTAAAATGAGTTAACTTTGAAAACATCTTCCAGGCCAGGAAGTGGGTATTACCAAGAAATAACCCAGAAACCTCCTATTTCTGCCATCCCCACCAGCTATCTGGAAATGGAATCTTGTGTTAATCATTCCTTTTCTTTTCTTAATAGCTTTTACCATCCATGTATTCATTAGCAAATAAAATATTCTTCAGTTTTTTCTGATTTTAAATTTTATATAAATGGAATCATACTGTATGCATTCTTTTGAGACTTCCTTCTGTCACTCAACATTATGATTTTGAGAGTCAGCCATCATGATGTATTGTAGTGTTGATCATTCTCACTGTGGTGCAGCAACCCCTTATAAGAATCTACCATCATTTCCTTACTCATTTGACTCTTGATGGACACTTAAGTTTTTTTCATTAGAATGATGTCATTACACACATTCACGAACCTCCTTCTTTGTGCATGTGTTAGGAGTTCTGAGACGTGGGGCTTATATATTCTTAACTTTACTGGAGAATCTTAAACTGGTTTCTAAATTAACTTATAGTTAAGATTTAAAAGGTTTTTCTAACATAATTATGTAAAATGTAATTTCATTGTGGTGTTTGCATATCTGAGTACCAATAAGGAGATATATTGTGCTTGCTCTCTGTGACATTCTCTTTAAACCCTTAAAATTTTTTTGTAGTATTCTTTTTTTTAATT